CCTGATGGCAATATCTGCTTGAAGACGCTATGTGTGTGTGTGGGGGGGAGGGGGGGGCAAACGGGATTGGTGGATGGAAGGAGGGAAAAAAATTATCAGTGAATTGTGGGAAGGGAGAATAGGAGATGGAAGAGAAATGAGAAACTTGAGCTGCGAGGAGGAGAAGAGAAGGGGAGCGACGGGAGGGGAGAAACGGAGGGCGCAAAGGAAGGGAAGACTGATGGGGACCTCTTACACCGCCTGTACAACATTTAAAATTGCAGCGAGCATGAGGTATCGCACATACAACGCCCAAAGCAATGGTTAAATACCTTTCGACAAAAATTACATAGGTACGGCGGGGAATGCTTGGTAACGGAAAACAATAGGCCATATTGAGCCACATAGCGCCTATTACTTAAAAGGGAGTGCATAATTATGTTACCTATACAGACACTGTTTACATACATATGTACATACACATAAGATATATAACCATAAATTATAGGAATACTGAATAATATGCTACATGAGTAATAGGAGTGCGTCGTCCGTATAACATAATTCTGAAAAAGTGAATAAGTAAATGCTAAGCATCACAAACTAAATATTGTACATTCTAGTAACTAACGATATTTTATAAGGAATAATTAACAAATAACACCGCCAAGAAGGATATCTGACTAGGATAAATTAAAGACTTCAGCAACGAAGCGTATCACCTATAGAGCCATTATATACACATAAAAGTTACCCAGATGCCGTGCTTTAGAAGACAGGCCTCATAGGTCACCTTTGCTACTAACGAAATAAAACCTGTAAATTTAAACCATCCAGAAAAAAATGTGAACAACTGTTCTTAATGTAAACTTTTCCGGTCGACTTTCCTGGGAAGTTTCCACTGATGATCCTTTGACGCTGTAAGACCCTTTCACGCATGGGAGGAGCAGGGCCAGCAGCGAAGACGTTGCGATGGTCTTGTGCCCTGAGACCCACTGCGCAGGAAAGCGGCCAATCCTTAAAGCTTCGGCTGACACTTTTGACATCGCGACATTTTAGCATTTCTACTATGTGTGAATTTTTTTGAGTCCGTTCTTCCGGCTTTAAGTTCTTTAAGCATGTTTCTCCTCTTCTCTTTCTTCAGGCTTTAAAAATGACTTCCCTTCTATCTCTTTTCGTGTTTTTATTACTTTTTATCGTAACTAATATCTTCATTTATCTTTGCGCAATATTCTTGCTCTTGTCGTAGCTATAATGTTGGAAAAGTACAAAATCTATTTATATCTTATTAAACCTTTTGCCCGCCGAAATCGTCTACATCATTCCTCAAGAGAACCTGCATTAGGTAATAACATCCCTCCAAAACTAGAGAGCCATTCCCATTCAATTCTGCGACTGAAGAGTAGACACGAGAAGCGGGAAAGCAGAGCACCAATAGGAGTAAAATTCTAATGTGAAATAAAAACCGGAGGGTCACTCCCCAGTCATGTGTGTGTATATATATATATATTAGGCAGCCTTTGCTATGACATTCTGAAATTATTATCAGAATTATGTAGTCATTTATTTTACTAACAACATGTATATATACACACCTTCCTCTACAGATAAAACTTAATTTTATGCTGCGTACAATTTCCTGGACTTTTAGCAATAGGAAATTTCTTCTCGTTCAAAAATTTCATATTCCATTGACAAAAGAAATATGAAAAACCTCCTCGTCGGCTATTCAGAAAGAAGAGACAACTTGGCAGATGATAGCTCTTGGTCACTACTATGTTCTCGGGCGCTATGCTTCTTTGACACGTCTCGTACGAGCGAAAAACACAAACACTTACAAGCACTCTTTGGTATAAGTATTCCGGCCTACCTGAACAGAGCCGTGAGTATTTTATGACATAATTCCAAGCCCATGAATTAGTTTTTGTTTACAGTAAATCTTTTAAGCCTGGCTTTCTGACTGCGGTACACACACTCTCGTCGGAATGAAATACTACCCTTTTTGCAGATATGATTGTATTTACATAAATGCTTTATGTCATTTGTATTGTTACTCTGCGGCTGATTTAGTTAAGGTGGATTGCGCATTTGCTTTCTGATTTTGCACAGTTTCTGCATTGACAGATTTATAATCCTTATCAACAATAAAACAATACTGCTCACACCCCAGTTCGGTAAAATCTGCCTCATAGCGACAAAGCACAAATTCTTAGTGCTCGGCAAAATGAATCTAAAGAACCAAGCAGCCACATAGAAGTCACAAATGAGGTATAAAAGGAATGTTATGTTTCACCAGTACTTGCTTCATTTTTTGCAGTGCTTTCTTCAGTATCACTGTCCTTTGCAAAAGTACAAATCCGCGTCAAACTATAACAAGTAACATGTTCATAACTCTCCACTCAGAACACTGCATTGAACATAGGAATGTTTCCTCTTGTTGCATCTAGGCCGTAAACCTTGCTCTTCACTTTGTTCACATCGATGTGTGACGCTTCTATTAAAAATTACGTGCCTCGATTTC